TTTTCTGGGGATTATTTTGGACAAGAAAATCTCCAGAAAATCAATGAGTTTGGTCCGAAATACCTACTTTATTTTGATATTTTATGATTTGATATTATTGAATATTAAGTTCTTATCACAATACAGTATAATTTTGAGTAATTTTCCGTGTTAACAAAAAATAAAAATAACTGCACCAAAAACTTTGAAAATTATTTTACTCTTCAAAAAAATTGACCATGGTTAACACCATAGATGTGTAATTTTATAATATTGTAGGCTTTCAAAATAAACCGTCGTTTACAGGATGCTGTCTATGTATCGTTTTAGCAAATTTTTCTTTTCGTAGTCCCCAAAAAAATGGGTAAAAAAAATAAAACTTCATTCAGATAGCCATGACTCCAAAGCTAGATGTATTTTTCAATGCTGAACAATTTTTATGAATAACATTTTCCGATATTTTTCAAAATAAGGGCATTTTACTCTTGTCTCAAAATCAAATATTTGAAGGTTCCTCGTATATTACGTTTGTTTTACTGTATTTTATTGGTTGATGTTTAGTTTTAGGGGATGCACAAACTTTTATCAGGAATAACTTTTTGTCGAAAAACCCTTAATAAATAAGTTTCTCATATGGTGCATATTTTGGGGATGACACTGTATAAAATCAGGAAATAAGACCAAAAGAAACAATCTGACTGAGAAACCACAGACGATTAAAGAAGACGATAAATATTAATTTTTTGTTCAATTTTACAAACTCGTTATTTCAAGATTTCGACTCCAGTTTCGAAATTCCGTCGAATTTCGAAATATCAACTTCATTCAAGGTCTGAATCAGTCGAGAAAAAAAATTAAAATATGTAGCCAATTCATTGCGTCATATGATGATAAGAATTTGAAACATTTTGCAAGAGCCGAAGCAAATCGTTTACTCACAAAACATCCAAATCCAAAACATGCACTGTCCTAAACACCAAAACTACAACAGTCTTTTCGACCCGCGTTTCATTAACCAAGTTGGCATCCTCAAGATATGGAGTAATCTAGTATTTAATCCACTTTATCTCCTGTCCAGACATCAACTTGGTTGGTGAATTGTACGTCGAAAAAAGTGTTTCAGTTCTGGTGTTTGGAAACAATGCTTGTTAAGGGTTTATTCTAGGCCAGAGGTTTTAGTTCTACCTTCAGTTACTGACGAAATGGTTTTTCAGTCACAGTTAGAAGCATAGCAATCAATGATTTTGAAAAATTACAATTTTTTAATACCATTGAGGGGAAGGAAGTCTGGACGCCCGAAGCCCCCGTGACTACGTCGCTGCATCGACATATAATAATTGTGAAATTCATCTCAGTAGTAATAAATAAGGCAACGGGTGTGAAGCTATTATTATCCACAAAGTACACTGAGAAAAAAATATTTAATTTTCATTTTTTTCATCCAACGACGACTTTGTACACCTACCATTTTTCAATGTGATACGCTTATTGACTGACTTAGTGAAAAAAAAGAACCGTTCTAGTATGTTCAGCCGTCTGAAGGGATGAAAATAGGGTGGAATTATATTTAAAAATCGTTACATGAAAAATCGACTTCGTATACCAGCCAAACTGAGATGTGTACCTCGTGGTGTCAGTTTCGACAAAAAAAATACACGTCAAAGTTTTCCAGGCAGCCTGGAGGGGTTGAAAATGGGGTGGAAACTTTTGAAAAATCGTATCATCGAAAATTGAATGTGTACACCTACAAGGTGTATCAGATTATCTCTGGTATCAAATTATTTCTGATGACCGATTCGAAAAAAAAAAAACTTCACGTGAAAGTTTTCCAGGCCGCCTGAAGGGATGAAAATGGGGTGAAAACTTCAAAAAAACTGAATGTGTACATCTGCAAGATTGAGCTACATTATTTCTGAATGACCGATTCGACAAAAAAAACATCAAGTCAAAGTTTTCCAGGCCGCCTGAGGGGGTGGAAATGGGGTGGAAACTTAAAAAAAATTGAATGTGTGCACCTACAAGATTGGAATATATGTTATTCCTGATGATCGAAACGACGAGAAACTAACGATTGAATAAAATCCATCAATTCATTACATTACACAATTCATATGATATACAATTTTTCACATCATTTCCACCCCCTCAGATCTGAAAAAATCTGACATTGTTGAATTGGTCATCA